ACAGCAGTACAATATAGAAACGAATAAAAACCCCTATAACCCGAGCGCTTTCGAAAGGTGGACATTTCTTCGGGGGACAAAAAAAGGCCCACCTTTCGAAAGCGCTCTGGTTATAGGGTTTTTATTCAATTCTATCTAGACTTCTTGAACTACGTGTTTTTTAACATCATGAACTACAATATAGTTCATTAGTATGAAGAATGCTATGCATTTTTACTTGGTTCATATATTTCATCATGAACTACAATATAGTTCATTAGTATGAAGAATGCTATGCATTTTTACTTGGTGCATCTATTTCTTCGGCTTGTATAAAATTTAAACTGTAAGAATCTTTAACCCTTAATTATTGTTGTAACACCAATAAGTTACTGAAAATAAAATAATTCGAGAGCATTGAAAGTCTAAGTGATAGAATTCGTATTTCACTATTCAATATTATATTTTATGACTCAGTTCTACTTATATGATATATTAATTAAGCTCTGAAGATCTGGACTTCAGAGCTTAATTAAGCTAAAAAAGAATCTTTCATTATCCATTTTATGAACAACAGGATTTCAAAAATGATGAAAATAACGGTTAAACTACGTTAATAAGTCAGACCCGCATCTGCTTATTAATAATGAAATACCTACAGTTTGTCATTGTTTTAATGTTTTTTTATTGTTTTGAAATAAGTATTAAGGTCACATAAAATTAATGATAGGTAAAGCTGTACAACCTATTAATGATGAAAAAAGAACGTTGTTCAATCCAGTGTAACGAAAATAGAAGCACTCTGAAAAAAAATCTCTACGTGAATTTCACAAGAAATGAGGTTGCTTAGTGAGTTTTGGCTATTTCTAAATGCTTATATTATATAGAACTAAAAGCATCTTCATGTATAGAAACAGATGGTTTGTCTAAAGCTTGGGTGAAATTTGATATATAGTTTAGAAAGCCTATTGTAGTGAAAGACATATATATTTATCTATATGTATATTATGTATGATGTTGAACAAAACGATATTGTCACTAAATGAAAAGACAGGTATTTTACTAGCTTTTGTTTTTGTTTTTAAATGTAAATCTCAGATGACAAGAAGGTATTTTTCCACAAGTTTCTCATTTTTTCACTACACGACTAGGTAATTTAAATTCGTTATGCACGTTCCTTAGAGAACGTTTTCAAGTACAAACTTACGAACAAGATATAAATGAATACAATAGAAGTCAATCCAATTATAAGAACCTCAGAACTAATGATATAATCTTGTGAAATTGTCTTTCTAATTGGATTGCGTTTTCCTGCTTGAATTTGTATTGTTTAATTATAATTAAAAGTGAAAATAATAGTAAAATGTATTCTATTGTGTGTAGTAATTTATCACTGAAGCATGATTTTCTTTTAATCTGTTTTTATAATTTGCTTTCGTTGGTGTACTCCGGATGCTCTCGAGGACAGAGGAAATATTAGGTAATGAACATAAATAACTCATAAGTTTGGTGGTTTCCTTTGGGCATTTGTTAAACTTTGCTTCAACAGAAACTCAAAATCACCGTGTACTGTGGACAAAGCCACATATAGGGTTACAGCTTTACACTGTACAAATCATAACCTGTTAAAAAGTTATGAGCTACAGGTGGAAGTACTTACATAAACCCAATTATGTCTAAACAAGAAAGAAGGATCTTCATTATGTCGTGACCTAGAAAAACCGTTAAAGCAAAATATTATATATTAAAAGTATTTTCCCATTCTCCTCCTTCTAAACTGAATAGTTGCAATATATGTTATTAGTTACCAAACTAGAAGATTAAGATGAAAATTTAGAATCTCTATGGTTGTATTTTCATGAATATTTATAGTAATGGTTATATGTTAGTATATAAAATTAAAACTTAGTTGTTAAGCACACAGTTACACAATGAGTTACATGTGCTGTGCCCACTACGGTTATCAAACTCCGGTTTTTAACGTAATAAACCTTAGACTTTATGCTGAGCCACAGAGGTGCGGAAGTTAAAAGATTAATTGGGACTTATATAAGGAGAATCTGATACTTAATATATAGTATTATAGTCATTTTTGTCAGTGTAAAAAGTAACTTTTAAGATTAAAAATATTGGGGCCTGTCAAATGTGTGCAATAGTTTGCATGGTGTAGAATGAATAGTGTATGTAGTTGTTGCACAACTGTTCAATCAAAAATACGTTTGTTTGTTTTTGAATTTCGCGCTAAGCTACACGAGGGCCATCTGCGCCAGCCGTCCCTAATTTAGCAGTGTAAGACTAGAGCGAAGGAAGCTAGTCATCACCACCCACCGCCAACTCTTGGGCTACTCTTTTACCAACGAATAGTGGGATTGACCGTCACATTATAACGTCCCCACGGCTGAAAGGGCGAGCATGTTTGGTGTTACGGGGATTCGAACCCGCGACCCTCAGATTGCGAGTCGAGCGCCTTATCCACCTGGCCATACCGGGCCCAAAAATATGTTACTCGTGCATAAGCAAATGTAACAACTTCGTCAAAAACAATAATATATTTTCTCTATTTATTTTATTTTTAGTAAATTCATCAGTTTTCTAAAGAAATTGCTTATATTTTCTAACCTGTATTTTAGCCTTAAAGCATTACTTTACTTGAATGATAAAAAAATCAATATTTGTTATTTTATGTGACCTACAGAAACCTACTACATTCAATGTTTAAGATGATAAATATAATGTTATTGTAAATGTAAACATATGCAGAAAAAACACAAGCATATTTACAAAGTATAGAAAAGCACACCCACATTCCCACAAGTATCCTCATATTGTTAAAAAAAAAAAAGTGGCTCTTCGGCAAAAACTTCACGCACCTCAATTCTTTTCTCTGGTTGGAAGAGGAATATCCCAACTGACCTTCGTTCGAAAGTGCCCGCCTCTTAGACCTGTAATACAATGAATCGTGAAACGTATATAAATCTTGTGACTACACAGCACCGCATTGTTTCATTTTTCATCCTGGGACTGATTACTAGATTAGAAGATGAGGACTTGGGTGAGTTGTGTTTCCATTGGTAACAATGCTTTAACAGTAATGGATTATTTATGTATATAATCTATCATTACTGCGACTTATCAATGTAGAAGGATATGAACATTAGCTTTCAAAAGACCCTGTTACTTTTGTAGAGACTTAACAGTGGAATAAAATATGTTTCAACAATTTCAAACTGCTTTTGTAGGCCTTAAGAACTTAGTATTAGTAGACAGAAAATGTTGAACAAACGGAAGCTGAGTTATGACATAACACACATTTTTGGATCGCTACTGAGTGAAATATAAAATAATAGACTATTTTAAGTTGTGTAGAATAGCGCATATTTCTAAAACAAAACAAAAGCAACAGGTAAGGTGAAATAAAATGATGAGTTGTTTCTACAAGAAACAACTTGAACTTTCGGTTCATCAAGTTACTTAAAGTATTTCAGCATCCATGTATCCAAAAACGTACACAGTTTATAGTTTTTTTGAAGTAAATATTTCATGGCAGGTGTAGCAATGAAACTTGTCGGCTTATGTAACTTTACAACAATCAATTCGGATTTTATCTTTACAGATACTTGCTGTTATGGGTCTGGCTATCATAGCCACAATGTGTCGCAGTGACGACGATGACGTCTTGCAAGTGGCAGAAACCCGATATGGCGGGGGTTTTCGGACTAGCTTCGGAGGTCATGGAGGATTTGGCGGAGGTCACGGTGGGGGTGGATTCAAAAGAGGATTTGGTGGAGGTTATGGTGGCGGTGGATTCAAACGAGGATTTGGCGGAGGTCACGGTGGGGGTGGATTCAAAAGAGGATTTGGTGGCGGTGGATTTAAACGAGGATTTGGCGGAGGTCACGGTGGTGGAAGATTCGGCGGAGGCTATGGTGGGGGATCTAGAGGTAGATTTCAAGGAGGTCATCATGGTGGATTCACTGGAGGGTTTGGTGGAGGTGGTAAGTTCAGAGGAGGATCTAGAGGTGGCTTTGGTGGATTCAAGAGTGGTGGATATGGCGGAGGTGGAAGAGGAGGCCATTATGGCTAATTATTTTTGAAAAATTGAACTATTATAGATTTTAAATTCATCACTACAAAATTATAATAAAATACGATGTATTAAATGGTTATTGACATATTGTTTGTGGAAAAATGTTATCTGAAGAACCGGTCCCGCAAGAAGCAGTTATGATAAATGTTCGTGTTCCAAAATTGTTGTCCAATAAAATTGAAAGAGGTAAAAAATAACCTTAACTTATTTCACCACTTTTATAACCTGTTTCAAATAGAAGAGAACAATAATTTAGCCCATCCCTACATGAAACTATGAGATTCTTAAACACTCTTGCTCTTACATGTTTTTTACACTTGCGAAACTCGTCTGTATTACACAACCATTACTAATGAACGAAATTAATGTTTAATGTATATACAACTAATAGAAATAAAACACGGACTACAAGTCAAACGTAAAGAGCCGGCAAAGGTTAAAAAACACATGAAAATATACAATTATTAGTTTTTTTGAAATAGACATAATCCACCCCCCACCCCCCTCCCCCAGGTGAAGAAAGACTTTCAGCAGCTTTCTCATATTTCTTCAATACTTTTTGTTCTCTTGATTTTAAATTTAACTTTACCTTCCCTGGTCAGTATAAAACATAAGCTACTACACAACTCTTCAAAACATAAAAAAAATGTCAACGAGATTATACATTCGTTTCTACAGAATAGATATAATTAAAAACTTAAACCAAGACCTAATGACTTGCTAGACATTCTATTGCAGTGTAAACTCAACAACAGAATATACTATTTTAAGCTTTATCTGCTTTTCACATGGGAAAATGTTACAGAAATAAACCTCTTCTGCGAACATCCGTTCGCTTGTTCCTTATGCGAATATTCCAGAACCACCTACGTTAGATTAGAAAGAAACAATTACATTTTATAAGTTAGTTCATCAGAGTCAAACTTACACATCCTCTAAGAATTGTGTTTATATACAAGGTATTCCACATGTGTAGCATGTCATTTAAGAATGAAATAATTTCACACAAGAAACTGTAATATCGATAAGATAATTTACGTTTTCAAATTTCATTTTCATTTCAAAACAAAGTAATTATTATTTAGTACCTTCAAATTACATATTTTTAGCTGACTATATGTAAATTGGATATTTATATGGTCCTTTTTCTCATAAAATTTTGTTTTTTTGTGTGGTGACTTTAATTTTAGAGACATTTTACATACACATATATATATAATGTATTCTACAAAAAACAAATCTTTGTTCAAATCCATAGCTAGCCGTCGCTGCTTCTAGTGTATATATATATATATCGCTAAGAAAAATCTTATTCGGTTAGTAAAGGGCACATATTATAAACGAAACTTGATAAAAAATGCCTCTTTATAACATTAGTTTATTGAAGTACTACATATTCCAATTAAAACAATATGTTAAAAACTGTTTAGATTGTCCCCTAACATCTCCATAAAATATCATTAATAAAGGATATTGCCAATACTTGTGTTTGTGGCTTTTTATGGTAAATCGCGTGTGTGCTTAAATTTGATTAACTTACACTATTAATATAATTAGTACTTAATTAATCTAAAAAACATTCTTCTTCTGTGTTCAGTTTAACGCTTTGTTTTTAACTTCATGATCAAAATAAGCAAAGTTTGTTCATCTTTCCGTTAACAAACATTTTTCCTAACTAATTCTTGGCTTATGTAATATCAAGTTTGGGAAGAAATAATAAGAGAAAAAATATTCCCTACTCTTCTAACAATTCCTTGTTGTTTTGGAAGTTGGAAGTGATTATTTGTAGGAAAAAATAATTTCTGTTATTACTGATCATAAACTTTACATACTGCTTTAACTGGTTCCATTAAAAACGTTGAAATTGGTGCAAACTTGACATCGATTAACACTTTATAGATGACAGTCTGTTTCTGAGTTTTTTTAATGAATTTCTGCATTTTTTTTGCGTTAATGTTACGTAAGTCCTTCATATTTTACTTTTTTCCCGCGTATGAAAAGATGAAACTCATAAACGTTTATTTAGAAGTTGAAAAATTTCAAACAAACTTTAACCAACGGTTTGCTTGTACTTATGATTTTAATATTATGAGTCGAAAATTAAATCAAAAGGAAAACGTTTGTCGCTAGGCGTTTCTTAATTAGAGTAATATAAAAAAGTATCCAAAAGGTATTTTCCCCTCCTACAGCTTTTAGGAGTATACGCTCTTTTGTTTACACATTTTTTTTTTCTCGTTGCTTATGTGGTCACACCATAACATTGTATTTTAGTAAATCAGTTTTAAAGCACTAACCTGCCAACTGGTGGGAGACAAAAAGACTGAGAAATAAGGGAATTATTACACAACATCTCAAATATTTGTTCACGTTTTGAAGTTATCGGATACCCTAAAACCTTTATTCGTTTTATAGAAGATTCTGGTTATTAGCCTACATACTATATTTCTAATCGTTTTTTTGGATAGTTTTTTTTTCGTTTCTCTACCACTGAATATGAATTAGACATGTTTATTTTTCTTTAATTGAAAACTTATATCTTTGTCAATATATTATAAATTCTAAGTTTTGGCATCCTTCTAAACTGATAACTCGCCAACGTTTGTTTGTTTTGAATTTCACGCACAGCTACACAAGAGATATCTGCGCTAGCCGTCCCTAATTTAGCAGTGTAAAACTAGAGGGAAGGCAGCAAGTCATCACCACCCACCGCCAACTGTTGGGTTACTCTTTTACCAACGAATAGTGGGATTGACCGTCACATTATAACGCCCCCCCCCACGGCTAAAAGGGGCGAGCATGTTTGGTGGGACAGGGATTCAACTCCGCGCCCCTCAGATTGAAAGTAGACCACCCTAACCACCTGGCCATGTCGGGTCTTGGTAAAACGTCCAAATAAATAAGTTTAGTTTCGTATCTATTCTTTAACAATTACCGAATAACTTAATAAAATTGTCGATTTCTGTACAGAAACCTGTGTATTCGGTGTTATCAAAAACCATTAAATGCTACTTAAACACAACTGTTATCGTTATCTTAGAATAATTTTAGAAACGGGTGTAAAAAGTAATTTATAGTATTTTTCTGTTATATGTACAGTATTGGAAATAATTATGTGAGGAAAATAATATCAAAGGCAAACACTACGTGAATGACACTCTTTTTTTTCCATGTGAAAGTAAACTGTGCAAGGGTATAGTCACGTGCTGATAGTATACATTATGATTGTTTGCCATATAATCAATCAGAAAGTTTCTTAACAATATAAAGACTATAATGGTTTGGTTCGTTTTGAATTTCGCACAAAGTTACAGAAAAGATATCTGCGGTAGCTGTCCCTACTTTATAAATTAGTTATTGTTTTTTGTTTTCTAGACGTATTCTTAAATTTTATCATACTTTTGAGTTTGATATAATTTGTTAATGTTTAATAACGTATATGTGTTTGTAGTTTGTTTGTTTTGTTCTTAAGTACAAAGCTACACAATGGGCTATCTGTGCTCTGCCCACCACGGATATCAGAACCCGGTTTCTAGTATTGTAAATCCGCAATCCGTGTTTGTAGCTATCAATATCTAATTATATAGTTAAATTCATGCGATATTAGGAACTTCATAATTTTTCCACAAAGTTCGTCAGATATACACAGGAAATCACCTGTTGCCTATAGTTTCAAAATGTGTTTCTCAATATTCCTTGGCTATTTGAAAGTGTTTAAATTGACTTCGTACGTTAAAGTTTCCCTGAAATTGATGGGTTTTTTCACATTATTTAGGAACATTTATGTATTCGTACTTTACGTAAAAAAGTCACATTGTAAAAAATAAGTTAGTTCATCGATGTTGTTTTGTTTCTCTCTCAATATTAAACTGATAGATCCAATAATAACAACCTATCCGAGAAAAAAACGTACGTACACACTGTAGAATCATAGCAATGCTTTTACATTCAAACAAGTTTATTTTGTTCAAAGAAACAAAACGGTTATCTAGTATATGTAAAAATAGTTTATGTTAATTGTAAAGACCATTTTTCATGATAATTTAAGTTTATATAAAGGCTTTTGTTATTTTCTCAATAAAAAGCTACACAAAGGGCTATATGCACTCTCTCTCTCTCTACAGCAAGGAATCGAACCCCGGATATTTGGTCAACTGGCTGTTAACCAATCGTGGAACGATTTTATATAAGGTCCACAAATTTTTAATTTTTACACATTCTTAAATGATATGTATAGATAAAACACACTTAACAAGCAGGTGTAAAGATTTTGCTTATAAAATGAGCTTTATCAAAGACTTTTATACAAAATTCTCTATGGTTTTCACCTCTCTAATTTCATTCAACAAAAATAAGGGCTTAAAGAGTAATATTAACTTCCGATCAGAGTAAGTTACCTATATAGACCAAAATTAAAACTAAATTGGTATAGCTAATTAAATATATTTTTCTTACGTTCTTGATTGTAAGGCGTAGAATTCATTGTTTTATCAGTTAAGTTACCCTCGCCTTTAAAGTTATTTTCGGCCGTAAATCCAATAATGTCTCATGATGTTCGACCAATTTAGGTTTTTGTTGATGTTTGTTTTAGAGAAAAGCCACATTTGGTAATCAACTGTGTCCACCGCGGGGAATCGAACCCCGAATTTTAAATAAAAAATAATAAAACTAGTTATATCAAACATTTAACATTTATTCAAAGATGCTAGTATCTTAATTCAGGTAGTGTACCTTTTTTCAAGTGAATTTGTTTTTCTTCCAGAGCAAGTTCCAGTGAATAAATTTCTTTGGCTATGTCAAGAAAACCTTGATAATTAGGGATAAGAATATCATTAATATATTTACAAGCGTTACGGACGTGTAAAGCTATTTTATAGTCTTTTTTTTCTTTCTAAGATTTGTTATGTATGAAAATTCAAGTTAAAATTGATATAATTGTGCAACAACTATTGGAATTCCTTTATTTTTTGGAAGACATGTTGACGGAATTTTACAAATGTGTTGTCAGGTATAAAATGCATAGCCAGAAAAAAATATGTTTAATGTGAAACAATGGTAATTTTCATCAATGACAATGTCATTGATGACCCTATCTTTACTAAAACAAAACATTAATTCGCTAGAATTAAAAGATCTTGAAATTGTTGATGAGAGTCAAATTTTAATTTTATCAATAGGGAGACTAGAGCAAACATTACTGATATAAAAGTATTTATTATTTTAGTCTCAAAGCCTTTAAAAAAAAAGTCTATAGTTTTCTTCTTTATTTAATTGTCACTAAGTGAGAGACGCACCAGGATTACCATGGTAAAATAAAGTTTGTACATTTCACACCACAGTGAACAAAGTCCAGCAGTACAACTTCTTGCTTGCCAACAAGGTATAAAAGGGATTTCGTTTGAACATTAAATCAGTCTCAATCCTGACATACCTGGAAACATACAGAAAGGAGAAATTACTATGAAGATTTTGGTAAGTTTAAATTATAATGTTAATAGAAGACCAATATAAGCATAAGGAAATTACAGAACATTAGATATTCATAGAGATGTTATTATACAAATATAAAGAATATTTATAGTAAACCGTTGTTATAGGATAAATACCTCAAGAATGATATAAAACCAAGACTTTTCTTTAAGTGTTTTTATAAATGTAATCAATAACTTCATATAATGTTATTCTGAATGGTGTACATACGTTTACTGAAACCCATTGAACAGAACATTTGGTAGGTATGTTTCTGAGTAGTGAAAACCCCATGCAATAATTTTTTTTTATTGTTTATCCAACGAGGTTCATTGTTTTATATTAATCTGGTTTTAATATCTTATGGTTTAAAACTAAGCAAACTTATTTGTGTAGATCAGATGCAAGCATATTTTTGTGTATTTATCAAAGTTATATTTATAAGGAACTTTGTCTAAATTGACATTTCTTTTATACAGGCTTTTATTTTCATCGTCTTGGCTGCCCTGGTGACTTCGACTTACGGTGGTGGTTTCGGTGGATTTGGAGGAATTGGGGGCGGTGGTGGGTTCGGTGGACATGGAGGTGGTGGGTTCGGTGGACATGGAGGTGGTGGCTTTGGTGGATTTGGAGGAATTGGGGGCGGTGGTGGCTTCGGTGGACTTGGCGGTGGTGGCTTTGGTGGACATGGAGGATATGGGGGAGGTGGTGGATTTGGTGGATTCGGTGGCAAAGGCGGTGGAGGTGGTGGCTTTGGTGGATTCGGTGGCAAAGGCGGTGGAGGTGGTTTAGGTCGCGGGGGAGGCGGAGGTGGTCATGGCTACTGGCGTTAAAACGTAACTTGAGGTAATATATAAAATTTACTGATGAAATGAAATGGAGTTTAATGATAAGAATTACACTAATTAATTACACTAATTAATTACACTAATTAATAAAACGATTTGCATTTTACGTTTCTAGCTTAATCGACTAAATAGACGAATATCCTTATTGAAAGATCAAATCCGCTTTGACGTTATTACTTTTTTAGTAAAGTTGAAAAAAAAAGACTCATTTATAAACTTACTCATAATTTATTAAAGCTACGAAGATAAATACAATACATGTAAAACAAATTGGATATTTTGAAGAAGAAATTATTGGAGATTTAATTTAACTCAAAGCACACCTTTAAGAAACAATATTTGCTTTAATAAAATACCCAAACGTGATATCCTCAAAGTTTATATATTGCTGGTGTTTTTTTTTTAATATATATAACTGATTACAGTTATAGTTGATCTTACAAAGTGACATTGACTGTGTTTTCCAATTTGAGAATAATATATATATCAAATCAAGAATGGGATATTGTTTTGAAATATCCAAGTTTTACAAGTAATATCATTTCTGACATTTTCATTTCATCCAGATGTCTCCACAAACTTTAACAGTCTGTTTCCCAAATATGCTGAAAACTGATGTATAATCCGATGGGCCCTTATGTGGATTTCATTTGGACTAATTGGTTCAAATACATCGAACTTAAACTACATTTTAAGTTTCACAATTGTCTTTTCTGACTGGTTTGTGTAAAAGTATGTAAATAAATGATTTTATAAATACATTGGTATTTCGACTGTGTTGTTTGTTATAACACATTATAAGGTACGTTTAGAGTGAAAACTTATAATTTTACTTATTACCATATCTACAAATATTATTATTGTATATTTCTGAGACGAGATTAAAATATAAATATAAATATTAATAAGAAACACGTGGAACTCACTTTTCGATTTAATTTTATTTGTATTTGTAAGTTACACCTGGAATTTTCAACAACACTCACCAGACATGTTCGTATAACTGGTTACACGTTATTTGCTGCTGATAAATAAAACTACAAGTTTCAGTTAAAGTAGTTCACAAGTTTCAGGTAAACTAGTTTGTATAAAAATGTATTATTGTAGCCTAGAAATAAAAAATAGTACATTTTGTTTTTTCTAAGTTTAAAGCCAGTGAATGGATAAGATATGGTCTTCATCATAGATTTCTACATGGACTTAATACGTAAAAAACAAGTTATAAAAACTATAACTGTGTGACCGACATGCACAATATTCGGTAGTTTTGACAATATACAAAACGACACCTTGTTATAGAAATGATTTAATTCAGGACAGTAGGAAGTGCACTTTTACTGTTTCAGGTACACTGATTTTGGTCGAGGTAGGGAATTTGAATTAACCAGCAAAAATATAATATAAATAAATAAATATATTGTGAAAATTACTTCTGATAATTATCTGGAGCTACTATTTCAATTTTCTAATTAAAGAAATATCAACCATTCAATTACAAAATGACAATTTAGGTATTTAGATACTACAGACATTGTCACTTGTAACATAATTAAAATGAACTAGAATAACGTCTCTAAAGTCCATATCTATTCCAATAAGAGCATATTTGGCGTATAATGCTTTATATATTAACTGCCATATTCAAAAAGCCTTAACCATCTTAACTGAGATGTAAACTTTTTGTGAAAACAATATTAGTTAAAGCCAGAAGTCGAGCATAACTTTGCTGTTTTCAGTATTTGTTTAGCCTAATGGCTAAGATGTTAAATTTAATACGTATTGTTCGGGCATACGTTCTTCGTTCCTGTAAACAGTGTTCTTTATTCATTACATATAAATATCTACTTAATAAAGTTCATCAAGGTAAATTTTATTGTTACACATAGCCAGAACTAGAAGTATAACTTCAAAAGTATTCAATCGGTTTCATATCTATATCTATCTATATCACGAAAATAGGTGTACGTACTCATATTACTCACAAGTAATTTCACGCTTCAGCCAAACAGTCTAGTACTTAAATAGTTTATTCGGCTGAAAACTGGAATAATTAAAAAAAATAAAATAATTATATTAGTGCTTAGCCGAATAAAGTTTTTAAATTGAAATTCTGGATTTCCCCTATATATGCATAACCTAGTATTTTATTGGTTATTTTTGTTTCTTAGATGCACAAGCCGAAATAATGTGTGCTTTTTATATCAATGATATCACAATAGTTTCATAAGTTCTCACGATTAAACAAGATAGTTTTATAATTTCTAAATGAGAAATATAACATGTTGTCTGTTTCAAAAAAGCTGTATAACATTTCTTAAATGTATATGTTAAACTGCTGTCGTCGTAAACAAAATTAACAAAATGCCTATATCTATGTCTTGTAATTAATTGTTTAAGCTTTAATTATTCGAATTTTACGAAACAGCTAACTGCAAAAAGGAGATAATTCATCAGCCAAAGCCACAAGTTAAGTATTTGCATGAGAGACAAAGTCTACTTGCCCATAACCAGGAAAGTAAAGAAATACGAGCTAAAATATCAGTTTTGTTACTGTTTACTTTTTATATATCCCAGCCAGTGAATAATGATAAAACAGAGTAAATGTGACTAGATGCACGATCGAAAATGCTTGGAGATGAATATTTTTTTATTTAAACTGATCTATGACAGCATACGTTCGAAGTTACAATTGGCTGTTTTCTGACCCCCCCCCCCACACACACACAGACTAATAGAATATTAGAAAGCAACATTTATAATACCATAAATTCAAGTTTTAGTAACAAACAACCAACGTCTACAAATATACATATCATTTCGTACGGATATATACCTAGGGGAATTAGGACTATTCGCTGTGATTATGTCTTCAGCTTGGTGCGTTTATTTTCAAATCGTGATTGTGTACGTAAACAAAACAGCGCATATATATCAAAGAAAGAAAATGTTTTAATTTAGTTTTCAGCCAATAGAGGCACCACAGATCGACAATTCATAACTTTCCAATACCTTATAATCTGAATTTGAGTGAAAGTAGATGGTAACAACTTTAAACAATTTCTAACTATTCAAAAAAATCATTTTTGTAAGCTTATGATTTAATAACTATGGCTTTTAATACTTAAGAAATATATAATGTCAATTCGTAACGCATGGTTGTGAAACAGAACATGTTGTCGTTATTTTATTTAAGAGCCAAAAACTGTAATAAGTTTTGATTAGTGTTAATTTTCTCAGCTCGTGCACATAATTTACAAATGTGTTACCTACAGAAACACAATTATGGTTTCTAAACGCCAGAATATTTACAATTTACACTATTGTAGTGACTTTAAAAGTCTTTATTAGTTTCGTAGCCATTTGGCAGTAGTGACAATAACTTTTTATATTCCAACTTATCTAAATTACTATTAGGATTTATGTTACAAAACTCTAACACAAGCAAAAATTGGAATGACATTAAATATATAACCTATGGTGCCTTCCTTTTCCTAAATTAGTAGTTTGGGCTTCACTTGCAAGACACACCGTTAGATGGCGCTACACATAAGATGGATCAGGGACGATCATAGTTCTATACATTATCACCAGAGGGCGGGATTTTAAGTACGCGTTGCTAGGCCGCCATAACAGGCGGCCATGACGGACGATTTCGTAATAGTTCCACGAAGTAAAGGATGTATTGCTAGGCCGCCATGACTTCATAGTTCTATTGAACCAGCTAATTTGGTCAACATGACTATTATTAATACAGTCGGTATAAAACACTGGTTAATTAGTTTATTAAACCATTATTTCATGATATTGTCCTTTTTAAAACGATTTAAATGGTCAGGAAATGTTTAGAACTAATAAGTTAGTGCTAAACGTCCTTTTTAGAATGAAATAAATTTGTGATTTAAACTGATTGTATTAAATATAGTCGTGTTGATCAAATTTCTGCTCATTTAATGGAACTATGACGTCATGACCACTTGTTAATGTTTTGTCATTGCATCCATTTTATTTTTTTTCAGATTTCCTTTTTCTGTATTAATTATAAAGATTTCAACCAGAATAATTTATTCATTATAGTCGTATTTTTGTTGTTCAGTGTCAAGTTATATTGGCAACATAAAGTGAAACTAGCGAAAGTGTAAATTTTAATTAATGCATAATATTTCATGATATCGTCCTTTTTAGGACGATTTAAATGGTCAGGAAATGTATTTAATAATTTAGTGATAAGTGTCCTTTTCAAGATGATTTAAATGGTCAGGAAATTTAATTAACCAATGAATTAGTGTTTTATACTGACTGTATTAATTATAGTCATGTTGATCAAAGTTATTCTGGTTCAATAGAACTATGGCGGTCTAGGAATACATCCTCTACTTCGTGGAACTATTACGTAATCGTCCGTCATGGCCGCCTGTTATGGCGGCCTAGCAATGCGCCCTTAACAACTCGTTCTCTGGTGACAATTTATGGAACTATGGCATCATCATTTGAGACATCACCCCTTTCCCGAGTCCGAGGTACGTGTAGCGCCATCTAACGGCGTGTTTTGCAAGTGCAGCCCTAACTACATATATAGTTCTAATTATTTTGCCTAAGTCCATCAAACGTTATTCTGAAGCAACGCGTCAAGTATGAATAAATTTACAACGATGAAAAATTCCGAAATTCTACAGTAGGGAAGCTATTACAAATAAATAAGTTGCTGTTCTTTTTTATTATAAATAATTATTTTCAGTATGAAATTTTGAAATTTAATAAGTTAAGCCAGTCTAACCTAACTAGGAGAGCCTTATTTTAGGCTTAGAGTAACTTAAAATAGTTGTTGCTCAAGTTGTTTTCTAATTCTCAATTTCTAATGCCTAATAACTTGAGAGTGTTTAGGAAAACCGTTCGTTGTGATGCTTTAAAATCTCCCATACACTAATAACTTAAATGTACACTTCTTTGTTGTTTTCTAGCTTCATAAATATTAACAGAAGTCTTAC